GACAGAACTATATAACCTCAGTCACACTGGGGACCAGCGATTCTTCGAAGTTGCACTGATGATGTTGCCTAACCTGGCTACGAAACGTCTGCAAACAACACTCCCAGTTCGCAGAACACACCACCATCAGCATCCACATCCTAAGCTACAATCGTTCCACATTATTACCAAAAACGTTTTTTTCATACAAACCTGTGGACTGAATTAGTGCAGAGATAATCGTGTCATAAATTCACTCATTTCACCGAGCAAGTTTGAGGATGCAGCCAAATAACGATTCCAGTGAAGCCTAAAGATNATGGCCCGAAATCGATCATGTCCCTGAATCCGCAATTGTGATCACTGTAAACGCAGTCCAAAGCGAACAATTGTTTTCATTGATTCATCTTCCGGCCTGCTCAGATGATGCAATATAGTAGTGCATTTGAAATTGGCCGAAATTCAATCGGTCAACCGTCTCACTGATTGTAAGTAAAGCAGCACGGAGTAGTCTGGTTGTGTAGTGACTCACATTACACTGCACAGTTGATGTCACATTTGTCATAAAATGGGGAAATCCTGGCAAAATCAGAAGAAAAATAATCCACGTTCCAGTTTCATGACCGGATGTTGCTCACACCTCGATCGTCAGACATACGCATTGGTTCGGGGCATTAGGGGTGGGTGAAGGGACAACTGTGTCAATTGTGATAAAGGCTTTCGAATCCCGAGTGTTCTTGCGAACTGATTTGGGAGCATTGGGACTGGGGAGGGGGGGGATATAGGTGGTTTCCAATTGCTTCCTTTCTGGTAAAAGTAAGGATCCTAATGCACTTATCTCAACGGCTGCAAACCAATTAGATGGTTCGAGGCGTCTTCACCACAGTAATTATGTGCTTGGATATGACTTTGCTAGGTGAGGACCGCAGTATTCCTAGTTCTAATAACTATACTATTCAGTCAGACTGAGGGGGGGGGGTAGGTACTTACGTATTCGTTCAAATTCGCATCTGCTACTGTGTGAGCAATATATCTTACCGCTTGGGAACAAATAAATAAACACACATAAAAGGCGACTGCAGAACCACGTAATTCATCTTTAAATAAAACGTACAGAAGTGCCCTTTAGATGACCAAAACGCAAAACTTCACTTTGAGAAGAGCTTTTTCGGCAGTTGTACTCAGTTTACGTTTCGCCATCGTGACAGCTGTTTCAACAATAATACCTAGCTATATGTAAACTGCTTTGTTCTAAACGGTAGTAGAACGTCCATATATGTGATCCGTGCCTTCTTTTTGTTCTCTGATTTTAACGTTATCTGTCCCAGCACTAGCACTTTGAATCTTTTCACAGTGGAATCGATAAAACGCAATGTGTCATTAACAGGTCGCTTGCATCATGCAAACCGATCAATTGTTCTTTGAAGAATGTTTTACCCAAGATTAGCCATGAAAGCTAAAGCATTCATTGCTACCCCATCAATTTGCCGATAAACGTCGTCGTTGAATTTGAATTGTGTTCTGGGTCTAATAGTATAGCAGCTGTTTCAGATCATCAACTGGTATTCTGAGTTTGCAATTTTTATTACGTGGCATATTGAAGGTGTTCAGCAGTTGGATTTTTTGGGAAGAGGGAACTCATCTCAAGTGATATCGTGCGCAATCCGTTCCAGTTTGAGTATTTAATTCTGGTCACCAAATCACTATTGCTGACGAGTTCTGTTCTCCACCGGTGACCATATCCGTTGAATTGCATGAGTCAACCGATTTTTTGTGCAAAGGGTGTTTGTGAACAAACACATGACAATCGCATTACTGACGGCACGGAGACGCAATGATCAGGGTGAATGAGTTGGTACTTCATGGAGCTTGCTTTGAAGATTGACTCAAGCTTTAGTTGGAGTCCTGTGAAAACGGTCTATATGATTATTATTATTATTATTATTATTATTATTATTATTGGATTAGTGTAATCGATGGCTTACATACACCAGACATTGGTAATTTGATGTTTCACGTTTTTAGTATCAATTACGTCTTTCACTCAAAATATTGATGTATATATATATATATATATTTATATTTATATTTATTTATATTTGTAAAATAAAATATTTATAAACTGCATTAAAACTGAGCAATTGGAACCACTTTCAGTGGTTTATTTCGCACGATTTCCAATACACTCGATGAAGAATCTCCCTGAGAGTATGAAGTCATCCATTCACCTAACATTGTGCTGAATCTGCACGCAATGTTTCCTGCAGTCTGAGAACAGTGAGATCATAACAATCAGTAGACCAGTAGGTTTAAAAAAATATGTCCAATACTCAATAATACCTAATACAACATTGGCACGTAAATTAATTAAACATAAAATTGTGATTTCACATTTAAACACTGGAAAACTTACTCTTTGTGAGCACCGCTTGACCTATGACATCATGCAAGCGGAATTCCAGCCTTGTGATAGGCGTACTATTGGATTCCACAGTCGTCAGGAACATTCATGTTGTTATTGTTGTTGTCGTTGTCGTCGTCGCTGTGGATCACTTGGGCTGTGAAGGAACCTTTAAATTCCGTTTGTTGATCAATGTCAATCAAGTTTTGCAAAATAGGGCTTCTCCGTTTTCTTCAGTGTTATCCCTAAAAAAGCGAATAAGTAATGTTAGTTTATTTGTAAGCGAGAATGACACTGCCTTGTTTATCACATTTTGCTATCCTGTCTATCGCATTGCTGTCCAGCAATCGCTCATATTTCTGTTTCGTTCCAGAGTGCTCTCAGGTGAACAGTCACTTTTATGCATTTGTTGGCACAGCTATTGCCTGTTCCGTCATCATACTACTGCTGGGCTCTTGTCTGGGCTATATTCGGTGAGTACGCACTGCATTCTCAGCATTCTTCTCGAAGTACGCACATTGCATATGAAAGAATGTCTCATCGTCCATAGTCTTTGCACCGATCCTATAGTATATCAACTTGAAGAAAACAACAGAAAATAATTCTTAACTTTAAATGAGGAAATATGTTTGATCATTACGACACCATAACATAGATGCACATTGCACACCAGTAAAATGAATAATGCAATCGGGGTAGGGGCTCTCATTGGAATAGTTCTTTCAACACCCAATTGGATGAATGATGTTCAGGTGATTCTCATTAACTCCATTTGTCGCTTGACGTAATCCATTCTTCACCAAATGTACATGTTGAGGCATATTCAACAAGAATACATTATCTGTTTTCACACACCTGGAGTGTATTGTAATAAAGAATCACCAAAACGGTAGAACACTGGATCATCTTGACACATCATCAAGACGGAACGAAAACACATACGTCGCGGCGTGTTAACATTTCATTTTATCTCATCAATGGGTAACAGAAACCAAAAAGGCACAAAATAGTACATTGCACTCATACATACTAACGAAAAATGATGCAAAGATATAGAGAAGGGTTACAACAAACGGACTGATCGCATCAATAATGATTTGGTGTACAAAGCGCAATGATATAATCCAAAGTCAAATTTTTATTATGGGACTGACTTAGAAGCTCGTGCTTCTCTTGTCCCATAGGATATTTAAAGAGATGAATCGTTACACGTCGAAAAAAGGAAACACAGGAAGCAGGGTTACAGGTCGGTAGTTAGCGGGGTCACTACAACAACCACTTTTGTATAAGGGCGAAATGACCCCTCCTCCGCGATTCGGGGAGTGTTGCTTGGTCAAACATTCGTTGAAACAGAATAGCTAGCGGTTCGGATGTGATTTGCCAAAATATCAGATATTTCGGGTTGTTGCATTTTTTTCTCAAAGCCATTATTTTTGCTTTGACCTTTTTAGCAGTAAATGAAACGTAGGTCAGTGAAGAATGTGGAAGGTGATGGAACCGGTGGGGAAGTTGTAAACCTTCAACCTGCGGTGCTGTGAAGACGTCGGAATAATGAATTGTCAGCATTTCCGCTGCTTCCGCTGGAGTGGCTGCAACTCTTCCAGCGCTACCTAGTGCCGGTATACGAAACGTTACTTTCCGAATGGAGTTGACGTGTTGGTACAACCGCTTAGGGTTAGAAATAAATTTTTTTGCTAGCGCCTCTTCGTATTTCACTTTATCCTCACGAATCAGCCTGGTCCAGTAGTTCCTCAACATACGGTAATTATTCCGTGTGACAGCATTCGGGGGACGATTATAATCTCGCCAGGATAGGTCCCTCGCCCATAGCCATTTCCTTGTGCGGCTTCGAATAGGTGAATTTTGGATGCCAGATTTGGTAATCACTCTAGTTTTGGTGGCGGATGTTATTATATTTTTGAGATTGTCAATAAATTTGTTCCATGCGACCAATGGACTAGATTCTGCGTCATAAGAAACCCACTGAGCAGAGAGCGCCAAGTTATTCAGCATTGTGTAGTCTATAGAGCTGCGCGTGTTACCAGAGGAACTTCCTTGAATTGATGCGTAACAGACTATTTGAATGTAAGTACTGCTGGACCGCTGCGTCCTACGGGGGAAGTCACATTGACAGACTCTACCATCAGCTCCTCATTGGTCAACACTAAATCCAGTATGAACGGTGACTGTAGGTTGCCAAACCTAGTGGCCACCTTCACATGGTTGTATAGTGGATGCGAGTCAATCAGCCGTTTGCATTGGTTCGAAAAATAAACGGGCAGTCGCTGATTTATTGAGATTGTGGCAGTTGAAATCACCCATACGGAGAACATTGGTAACTTTTTGTGTAAGAATGTGACATAGTTAGTAAAAGCGTGTCATTGGCTGTCTCTGGGGATGCTGGGGACGATAGAATACATCAATCAAACAATCATGTTTGGACAACTTCAACCTGCACCACAGAGTGTCCGGTCGCTTCTGAGTAGAGGTACCTCTGATAAAGACAATTCGGAGTCCCAAAAATCAGCTGTGAGCCCAGTCTCTGTAACAGCAATAATATCCCATTGACTACATATAAAACGTAAATTCAACTTTGGAAATTTGCCGAGGAGTCCTTGAGCATTAGAGTAGAAACAGTTTAGATACCGGCGGTGTGGAAATCCGCTTGGGTAGGAAGTGGTATCGCGGCCAACCCCTTCTCGGTCGTCTACCATTAAATTTTTGGCATAGGAGCTCTGGTACTTTGGACCACGGGTTGCGTAGTGGAGTTCGGTACCTGCATGGACTGATCTGGTGCATCAGAAGGGTTCTCCAGATTTGGGTCTACTTTGAGCCCGGGATTGAGTAGGATTCTCACACGTAGTTCCGGAGGCCCTCTGTTCTTTTTTTCCCACCATATCTGTAAGACAGTGTCCGCCATTTCTGGAGTTCCAAGGGTAACTTTCATTATCCTCGGACCGTTACCACGGTAATTTGGTGAACAGGGAGGACGACTGATTGAAGTTGTCAAAACTTCGCTACACTCAAGTAGATTTTGAATGAATCGCCATTCCCTTCGGTCGTTCTGATGACATTTTGGTTCATCCGGATCGTCCAACTGCGGCACACCATGGATAAGGACGACTCTCTTATTTTCCTCCACTGGTGCTCTTATTGGATCGGACTGTTGCTGCATTTGTTCCGTCCACGTCCCATCAAGGACGATTCTTATTGGGCTGGNTGGGCTGGAACTCTTTCTGAGAAGGCACCTAGAAAGAAAAACGTCCTCCAAGTCCTTATCGTAGTTCAGGGTCACCCGTAGCAGTCTGGATTCCCCGGACAACGTCGGCTGGCGCATGAGCCTTGTGAAGCCAACGGGTACAACATTATTGCCCATCTGCGAGTATAAACTATTTCAGTGTTCTATCTCCTCTCCTTGTCGTTCTCTAAGTGGTTGGGTTGTCGGTTCGGGTACGTTTGTGCAGATAATTGTCAAACCGGTGCTGCTTCCACCTTTTTTTATTCAGTATCGAAGACCTTGGTGTGGATATTACAGGTTTCGTTTAAAGGAGAACCTTTTTTGGTTCAGGAACTTTTACTGCGTCTTTCATGACAATGTAAACCATGTTTATTTCGTTAGAGGTCATATATTGCGTTGGAGCACTGCTGATTAACGAACACCTTGGACGTTTAGCCGGCCGTTGGATTGGGCTTGACGGAGGGATCTGGGAGCTTTTCTAATTCTAAAATCGTTAAGTTAGCTTTATCCTCCGCAGCTAATAGTTGCTTCTCGAACCTATTTCAATGCCCATCATGTATTTTATAACCGGCGTTTTTGCACAATCACTGCAAAATCAAACCCTGTTGCGCCAGCATCTTTTTCATCTTCTTACTCCATAGATTGGCGCATGTGGCGTGAAAGTTCTTCTGATGGTATGTGCATGGCATTCCTGTTTTGACCTCCTTTCCGCAGTCTGTCGAGCAGCACACGCTCAAACCATGTCTGACTAATTGCGTTGACAAACTTTGGCGACCCATTTTTGGTACACTGTGAGATGGTACACTGCGAGATGGGAGTGTTGATAAAGGTCAAGTGAAGCGAGGTCGCATTGGCTGAGTGAACCACACCTCAGGGAGAAACGTGCGCGTGCAAGACAATGACCGGGGGCAACCGGTGCCTACCGATCGTTGCGATCGGAGATGGATGGAAGGACACACGTACAGACGAGATGGAGAACGGAACAGAATTGAATAACAATTTATATCTCTAACTCTTTTAGAAATGACCCCAGAGAGCTAAACAGAATCTCGTTAGATAGAGCGTAGAATTTTCTTCAAAATGAAGACGGCGTGGAAACTTGAACAAGCCTACGCGCGTGAATAAGATAGAGAATTCACTCTGACCAGTCGAACAGCAGAATCGTGATCTACGTAGGTTATATATTCAAGAGAGTAAAATCACACGATGAAGCTCGCCGAACTGAGTCGAATGACCGCATACTCGACGTTGTACGACGAGTTTTGACACAGAAAATCCACTAAACCGAGAGCACACAAATTCAACGGCCGCACGTCACGATGGCTAGTCCGTTCAATGACACGTCACTATTCTTCATAAGCTTATCATTGTGTATTCCGGTTCACTCTCAGTTACCATAACATATTGGCAGAACCAACTGCCGCCTGTCTCAACAAAAGGCCTAACATGGACCATACTGATTAGCGACTTTGCGAATGCTGTCCATTACATCCTTTGGTCAGGCCATCACAAGGTTCCCGAGGTCGCCCTGTGCAAAAGGTGATGACACTTAAATATTCAATGACCCCGGTTCCTCCTTCAAACCCCTTTTGCGCAATACTAATTGTGCTTTTGAAACATCCGAAAAATCTTTTCCCTTTGATACATTTTAATAAAAAAGAGTGAGACAATATGAACAGAATTGATTTTGGCCATTAATTCTACCTTCTTTCAGTCGGTTGTCTACGTACGTTAAATGAGTCTGAATGTTATACGAAGAATAGCATATGTGGACATGTAAATAAGTTCACTGGATCAAGCGGAAAGAAAAAATGTCTTAAAAATATCACAGTCATTTGGACGTGAGTGAACAAAGAATGGGTATAGTAATAACAAAAATTAAGAAAAAGTGGATGAAAGCATAGAAATATATACGTAATAGAAAGAAGATTATCCACCGAGGGAAGGATTTAACATTATCATTATTATTGTCGAAATAATCCCACATAGCACATTTCAAACAGAACAACAGATTGGTGAACAAGCTCGTTTTCAGATATTCGTATTAATGGCAATACATCTTAATGTATATCACTATTAGGGAACAAATTGTCTTAGGAAAATAAAATCACAGATTACTAGAAACGACTTCATCCTAAGACCGGAAATCGGGTTCACCACGATCGCATGTTTGTTTTTCCACTCATCCGATTATCGAGGTTAGTCGTTACACGGTGTGTGTGTGGGTTGGGCCAGGAAAGCTTTTGCTTTTGCACAAATTGTTTTTGGGCACACGGAGGGGCGTTGTGCAGACGAATGCCCACCGCTTCTGCTGTACCCTGCTTCCGACAGCGAACCTGCTTCGAAAATCTCTCACGAACTTTGTGAAGCAGTCGGAAAACCTCGGACACGTTCACAATGTGATTTGTCTCAGCTAGGTGTGAAACCACTGCACTGGTGAGTGACTTAATCGTTCTGGTGTTCAGCCAGGCGAGGTGGTATTGTTATTGGTGTAGATGGCTTGTGTAGGCAACTGTGCCTACATTTCAGTCAAAAATGTGTTCATCGTTACAATGGGATAAAAAAATGAAATACAAATTCATATACAACAATGATGAAGCTTAAATGTGTTAATCTTTGTGGGTTTGAAATTAGTTCTTTTCGGATCCTCACAGTGTCAGTGAGAATACGAGCCAGATAGATAACTGTTGAGTTGCAACAAATGTCTTGGCGGGAGGGTAAGCAGCAAAAATTACATCGGGTTTTAGCGTGGGAACGGCAAGTAGATAAATCCAGATTGAGTGTCTTATGAACGAAAATCTCACATGAAAGGACATGCAAATTACACAATTTTGTGATCAGAATGTTTAAAGTATAAGGGAAACACGGCTGATAATTACTGAACCTCGACGTAGAGCAATCAAAATCTTTCTAATTAGCCCAGAGAAAACAACGGGTAAACAATAAATTAGGACAGAAAAAAATGCGTTGATAAACAAAGAAATATACAGTTTCATACCTCACTCGAAATTGTCGTAGGTTGCGTATTTGAAAAGATAGGCAACACAGTCTATTAACACAGTCTATTACATGACAGGATAACCTTAGATTGTTATCTATGATGACTCCTAGGTATTTGGTGGTACGTGCTCTGGTGACGGGTATGGAAGTGATGACTTAGGGTTCCAAAGGGATATTTAAATCGTAGAAGACCAAAAATGCATTCGGAGCATTTAAAAAATTCAAGCAGAGACCGGAATGGTTCGAGAATAATTGCACTTGTAATGAGCTGTCGGAAAATGATCCTATGTCCCACTGATTTGAAATAGCTTGAAATAAAGCTACATCATTTGCATGATTAGGTAATACCAAATATACAAAATTGTGATCGATTTATTGTGCGTAGACAGTTGATTGAGAGCATGCCAACTTGACGGCCAACGTCAATTCAGCTCATATTGTTTTACATGTTTTATGCAATGAGAAACGTTTGTTACATGCTGAAGCGTTATTGATCCGATTATGGAGTTCGTTTTGTGCCTCCAAACCTCATTCATGCGATCTGTTCATTTGTTGTGAAATCCTTGTCCCATCTGCATATCTCTATTCGTCAGGATTTGACAACCAAATCTACCGTAAGTGGGTGCCTATTTGCTTTGCGTGAGCAATTGTCGAGAATGAAGACCAGGTCAACATTTCCAACGAATCTCCTTTCAGTCACATAATATTTCGTGCTACATACGGCTGGGTGGGATTAAGTAAGCCCACCAGTTCAGGCACAGGTTGCCGTTGCGTTCCGTTAGGCATGCAGCTTATCGAGAACTTTAAGACGAAGTAAACTTGTGCATGTCGTAAAAACAATATGAAGATGGTTTTCTAACTGGAAATGGACTCTTAGTTTTGAGATATTGAACACGGTAACCCGCATGAGAATCTGTTCCCTTCAAGCAGAGAGGTGTTTTTTTCTATTCCATTGAAGTGCATAAGAGATTTTCATTGTTTTAGTTTATGCTTACATATGGTGTAGTCTGATAAAGGCATTTGCATTCAACTCATTTTATAATGCAGGCGTCGAAAAATACTGAATGTTCAAGCAAGGAATGGAAAAGCGCATCGAGGAAAAGGTTCAGTAAGTTCCATCACACAATTGTTTTGGTCCATATAAGTAAATATATTATGATGGTTGCAACGTTCAAATCCGAGTATTGGCATATTATTGTTCATTGGATTCACCGGCCACTGGTTTTTCATTCATGTTTGTAAGAAAAAAACCATTGAGATAAGTTGGGTCAGTCAAACGGCCAAAGTTTCTGTGACGCATTGTCAAACTCTTTATGCATGTGCTAAATCAAAATCGCCGACAGTTACGCAACCGGTTCATTTCTGTATGAAAAACAAGACACATAGCTGAAAGTGTTGAAAGTGAAATCAGTAACACATATTATTGATCAATATTTGAAATGTTTATCGCAGAGACATAACATCAAACGAAACTACAGATGAAACGTCATTGAACGGTGTGTGTGTATGTGTGTCGGTGGGTGTGGGTGTGTGTAGGGGGGAGGGAAATTACGCTGAGGTGCATGTATTCTGCTTAACAATTGCTTTCGGACTCGATGTTATAAATCCACAAGACAGTGAGCGCCCGGACGAGAAGAGTTGTTTACTACGAACAACGGTAAGGATGCATACAATAAAACGTCTCACTTGAAACAGGTCATCGAAATTCCCAAGAGCACACAGTGCAATAATTTGAATAGTCCGAAAGTAGATGTGCATTTCTTGTAGTTACAGAAATAAAATTATTGAATCTGCTAGCGAATTCCGTCCGCACCCAAAAACTGAAAACTGATTGATACGTGCCAATAATCATAAGTATAGTGACACTCCTTCACACTCTTCCGTTCAGTGCTCAAGTCAAAACTTCATTCTTGGGAATAAACTTGAAATTATGCCCCAATCTTCTTTCTTCTTTCTTTTTTCTTTATGGAAGCATCCAATTTGTTGGTACTTTGATAAGTCTAATGCCTTTGAAACTTCCGGTTTTCCAAAAGTGACGGACCAGTTTTCAACAAACCAAAAACATCAATTGCAAAATCGTAACATTGACCAGAATGATACATAATAGAAATACTTCCGTCTTATGCTGCATCACACCGAGTACATATCCCGAGTTCGAGCCACAACCTACGAATTACCACAGATTTTATCTCGATAACCAAAAGTACGCGGATTCAAATAGCGAAGCACTCGAGTTAGGGACATTGAAACGGGAGTAAGAGAGTTAGGAATGAATTCCCTTCTAATTCTGGTTGTAAATGTGTATGATAATGGAAACTGGTATATGTAACTCTGTTGAGATTCGTGTCCCATGAATTTGATGAACGTCTGTACAGCTGAACC